AGTGTATTATTGTAAATTAGGGTCATTTCTAGACACATCCAGCTCCTCATTTGCATATTCAAACATGATTGTTCTGACAGCTCGGCTCACAGACCCTGGTCAGAGCCTCTCACTAATCTGGGTCAGTCTCTCGGTGACACCTTTCCCTGAAGGTTTCCCTCCAGCAGCTCACTCACAGCTTCTCCTCCTGCCGCTGTCAAACATTACACTATTTCCATGTAAACTTAAGTTAACAAACAACCAAACTTCGACAACAAAACCCCACCCAGGCCGATCGGGGCGGACTCATTGGCCGGCGCGTCTGTAAATCCGTTCCCTCTCCGTCCGCCGCCTCCCATTGGCTGCCGGTGACGACAATCGTGCGCGCAGCTCCCGCCCACCGAGCGGATCAAGTTTGAATGAACAGCAGCAGCCTGCTCCGGAGCTGCCACTTGCATTTGCAGTAATTATTAAAAAAGTGTGTATCGTGTCGCAGGGCGCGCACATCCACGATGGACATGAAGAAGCGGATTCACCTGGAGTTGCGGAACCGCACTCCGTCAGACGTAAGTTGGACCTGCTCAGCTCTCCGCCTCCCGCCGCCGCCGCCGCCGCCGCTCCGCTTCACTCTCCGCTAATGGAGAATTATTTCGTGTGATGTTCTCGGGTACAAAGTTTCCTCCCGAAAGTTAAAAGACGAAGGAGGCGTCGGGTCACATTGTTGCTCCGCCGTCGTGTTTACAGCCGGCAGGTGCTGCGGCTCCAACTTTTACGCGGCTCCTGCTTCACGTTTGGAGATGAGCAGTTTGGAAATGCAGCAGAGCTTTTTTTTTTTTTTTTCTCCCCCTTCTTCTCTAAATACATGCCAGCGGTATAAACAAGGCAGCGAGGAGCCATATTTGTAACTTTTGCACGTTTAAAGCCCCTCCGTGTTGTTGTTCTGGCTCTGTGCGCCGCCGTTCTGCACGCTTTTGGACATTTTTACGCGTTGCACTTGGCGCGGTTCGGGATGCGGATCCTCAAAGTCATGAAATTTAGCAGCGATGCGTAAAAGATCACAGGCTCGGTTCGGCGGCACGCTGCGCCCCGCCGGGTCGCTCACAAAGTGTCCGGTTTGAAGTGGTGTATTGGTGCGTGCAGACGAGCCCCGGCAGCCCCTCCAAAGACCCCGGAGCCTCGGTGCGCACCGGGGAGAGAAAGCGGCGGCGAGCAACCGGGGCTCGGAGGAGAAAGAAGGAGGTGGAAGGAGCGGAGGGAGGGAGGGAGGCGAAAACACGCAGAGATCGGACGCAAACACGCCCGTTATCCGCTCGTTTTTTCACCGGGAGGGACTCGTGGAAAAACAAACAGCCGCCGCGCTGTTGATCCAGTTTTCCAGAACTAGGACAAGCCGCCATTTTACCGAGAAACAAAGGCAACGCACCGAAAGCCCGTTTCTGCTCGACACCGGACGGCGATTCTCGGTTACCTCCGCGTCATCACAAGCCTCCGGTCGCCACCGAGTCCGACCGGAGGGAACCGTTTAGCAGCACCGATAATGAAACGTTTGCCTGGCAGCGATGCGAGCGGCTTTAGCGGCCCCTCCTACTCACGGATGACCCTGTGCACGACTCGTAGCTCTGCTCACTGCGCCGCGCAGCGCTCCACGGCGGACAAAAACACCCGCAGCCGCTCGTTCCTGCAGGGAGATTTAAATAAAAAAAATAAAAAAAAGAAAAGAAAAAAACGTGGCCAAATGTGGTTTAATTACGCAGCGGACGGAGCATCGCGATATCTGGTTAAAACGCTGCTCGGTACCGACGGACGCGTTTTTTTTTTGTTATTATTATAGTCCCGCTGCTCGCCGCTGATTGGCTGAGTCACGTCCGAGGCCGAGGCGAATGATCCGATAACTGCACACCTGTGACCGCAGAACAGCGTAAATATCAGTGCGCGGGGCGGACAGGTGCTGCGTCAGAAGGTGACCGCGGCTGGAGGAGGAGGGTGCACGCGCTGCTTCACCTGCTCTGAGCCCTCACATCATCATCATCATCATCATCATCATCACTACACCAGTCCTGCTGCTTTGAACGCTTGAACTGGCTTTAAAGGAGCAGTGCAAGTCAAATGATGCAGGTTTACGCTTGTTGTAAAGTGACAGCAAACCTTCTGGAAGGTTCTAGATGCATCAGAAGGATTTGGTTTAGTTCATTTTTAAAGATTACAGCCCATACGACTTCTATATATTTAAATTTTTCCTGAAGCTATTTGCTCAGTGTTCACACAAGTTAATGTTTTCTTGGCACATATATCCTGTTTATTGTATTTATCTTATATGTGTGTGTGTTTTGAGCAGCTGTTCCCAGGATCCAAAACTATTTTATCCAAAATATAATAACCTTGAACCTGAACCTTAATTTAAAAACTGGCTACTTTCTAACTAATTTACTCGTTAATTTTGAACTGTTTCTATTATTTGCAAAGACTTCTGAAGTCAGAAAGGAAACAGACGTTATAGGCGACATCTTATATTGTTTTACCATAAATATACCATGTTTCCATATATGTTACTTTAACTAAATGTTCGGCAGCACATACAGATGTTATTTAATTTCTGCCAATCATTTGTAAATGATGGGCCGAGTACAAAACTTCACTGTACCTTTATTGTCCTAATAATATAATTTTAAGCAGAAGTAACAAATGTATTGATTGAAAAATAGAAAATAATCTGACGTTAACTTACTTGGCTGTAATTTTAGAACATTATAATAATACTGTCTTATTACTTTTCTGTTATGTGCTGCATTTATTCTCATTTGATGTATTTTTTTCCTTCTTCTTCTGAGCAATATCTTCCCAAAATGTCCTTTGGGATTAATAAAAAGTAATCTTATGTTAGGTCACATATCTAGAAATGATTTTGGATTCTTTTTTAAAAATGATTTCAGTTTGATGAACCTGGTCTAGAAGCTCTAACTGTACTATAACTGTATTATCACTGATATCTAAATTTAATTGAATTCCAGTTTTCTTAATATTAGTGAGGTAAACGTGTGTTTTTATGTAGTATTGTAGCATCTAAACAGCACCATTAACTTCCTCTAGTAAATCTACATAACACTGAAGGGTCTGAGCTTTAATATTTAATCTTGTTAAGTAAATTCCCAACACTAATCTCTCCTGGAAAGCACTCTGACTCGGTGGCTGCTGCTTTAAATGTGTTGTATAAATAACAGTAATGTGACTAGTATTGACATGCTGCATTTGTTGTTTTCCTGCTGGGTTGTTGTTAAGTTTCCTTCTGGATATGCTGCTTTTGTTTTGTCTTTGTAAATAAGTTTTTATATATACATAAAACCCATCCTTTAATCGTGTTAATCATCGTCTAAATAAGTATATTAGATGTACCAAACCTTTCATATTGTCTATTATCATCCTAAATATCGTGTCTGATTACTCTAAAAACTGCCAAAAAAAAAAAGTCAGAATTATTCAGTTAAGTTTCACAAAAAAAAAAAAACTCTTGTGCTGCAAAAACACAGACACCAAGTTTAGTGCGTTTGCTCGTTACGACTGTTTGATTCAGATAAAAGCAGCTGCAGACGCTCCATAAACTGGGCGATGCAGCTTTTCAGTTTTTGGCATGAAACTGGCGTCAGTGTTTAAACTGTAAAACCACTGAACAATATGAAAATAACCCTGATTATTTCAACAGATATTACGTCTCTGTCGCACCACGAAGCTTCATTTATAATGTGACACGTTTGACCTTTGTCCTGATGTGGTTTAAACATTAAACTTGGCCGTGTTTTATTAATATATTCGACACACAACATCTTATCATCTAATAGAGCGGGCGTGGCATTTTGGCCCACATTTATTGAAAGTAGTTTTCTAATCCTCTTGTGAAACCAGTAAGCATTGGTGCATATATTTCCTTTAAGTTAGCAAAAACAGGAATACAACACCATAAAAATACTTCTTCACAGTTCTGGCCTCCTAAAATTATACATAAGGGTCTTTACTTAATTTAAATATTAAAATAGAAGTAGTCATGCAGCAGAACGTTCTGTTATTAAACATAAAGTCAAGTACTGGACTGTTATTAGTGAACTTCACCCTTACATGAGTATTTTAATGATGTATTTGATCAGTTTGGGCGGCTTAGTAATGGATTATATTTATGTTTTTTAATGAAAAAACTGCAGTATAGATCGTAGCAGCAGTACGAGTGGAGGAGTAACGTGTCAGAGTGCTCACCTGAAGCCACTTTTCCTGTCGATACTGTTTTAAAGGTAAATTAAATCATCTTGTGATAGCTTTTTCCAGAAATGAGCACTTTATTTAACGCAGGAAAAGTACTTAAGTGGAGCTTCTCAAAAGCCGACACCAAATTGATTTAGCGTGTCAAACACTGCTATACGTGTCTGCTGTGTATTTACTTTGCAGATGCTTCTGTCCGGATTAATTAAAGTCAGCGGGAAGAAGAACTAGACGACGTCAAAACTGTGAAAGCATCCAACCCGAATATGAGCTCAGAACTTCAGATTTTAGATTCAGTTTCTGTCCTCCGTGTTTGTGTTGATTTCTCGATTTTGACAAACGCTGACGTGCATCTGTTTGTCCTGCAGGTCAAAGAACTTGTGCTAGACAACTGTCGCTCAAACGAAGGCAAGATCGAGGGTCTAACAGACCAGTTTGAGGAGCTGGAGTTTCTAAGCACAATCAACGTCGGCCTGACGACAGTTGCCCACTTGCCCAAGCTAAATAAACTCAAAAAGGTGGGTGCTTTTTTCCTTTTAATCTCCACAAAACCATTGTAAACCTTAAGGCTCTGCTGTTTTGCACATTTTAATCCGTTTGACTGATCCACAGCTCGAACTCAGCGATAACCGGATCTCAGGAGGGTTGGAAGTTCTGGCAGCAAAGTGCCCCAACCTCACACATCTCAACCTCAGTGGCAACAAGATTAAAGACCTCAGCACAATAGAGCCGCTGGTACGCCGAGAACATCCGACGTGAAGTAAAGCAAAACGTAGAAAGCGGCCGGCTGTGTTGTTTACCAAACTCCATTTCTCTTTTGACAGAAAGAACTGGGGAGCCTGAAAAGTCTAGATCTGTTTAACTGTGAAGTAACGAACCTGAACGAATACAGAGACAACGTCTTCAAGCTATTACCTCAGCTCACGTACCTGGACGGATACGACAAAGACGACAAAGAGGCGCCGGATTCGGACGCCGAGGTTTACGCCGAGGGCCTGGACGATGACGAGGACGACGAAGATGGTACGTCCGGAGGAGCCTCGTCTCTCTCTTGCGTTTAAAGTTGCTTTAAATTTGGCTGATAATGTGACTTTCGCTCAGATGTAGACGAGGAGGAGTACGACGAAGACGCAGCACCGGGAGACGAGGAGGAGGAGGAAGGAGAGGAGGACGAGGAGGAGAATGAAGAGGAGGAAGAGGAGGACCTCAGTGGAGAGGTGGGACGAGGAAAAAGGAAATGTGTGTTGTGTGATTGGTGAATAGAAATGTTCAGTCTGGAAGTTAATCTGGTCTTTTTAATAAAAGGAGGAAGAGGAGGAAGATTTGAACGACAGAGAGGTCGACGACGAGGACGATGAAGGTCAGTGAAAGCATCTACTAAATACTACGTCCTTATACGGTTTGTTTTGCTGTTTTTGTGGAGTTTCTTGCAAACAAAATGTTGTTTCTCACCAAAATACATTCCATGTATCCTCGAGGCCTCGTATGAAATATTTAAAATTTTACAGTATTTAGAGTTTGTAGCTTTGTGGTCTCTGATTGGTGCTTTGATGCCACTTTTCTTTATATTTTCCCACCAAAAGGCGCAAAAAAACAGCTGCAGGAGTCTTTATGGCGATTCATATAAACACAAATCCTGTGTGTGTGTGTGTGTGTGTGTGTGTGTGATGCAAACAAAGCTAAGACCCACTTAGGAAGAAAGATTAAAGGTTTGAGGGGAAAACTTAAATCTATTTTTGCACCAACAGGAAATGATACACGACTACCAATTAGACGTAGTGTTTTTCAGAAAACTCGTGTAGTTATTTTTGGCCTTCTGAAGTGTGTCCTGGACCCGTTTTCACCGCTCAGCGTCATTTTTTCCAGCTGCAGGAAGCTCCATCATTTCCTTTATTTTTAAAAATTTGCTGTGAGATGGCTGTAAATGTCATTTCGTCACCCCTCTAGTGTGAACACATAACTTGTTTAGTAATGTTTCATGTGTGTGCGATTTGAGTTGCTGTTAACGTTTATTGATTCTGGTGTTCTCTAAACGTGACTTTCCAGAAGAGGAGCGAGGTCAGAAGAGAAAAAGGGATCTGGACGAAGAAGGGGAGGAGGATGAAGACGATTGAGAAGCCTCTTTAAGCTAAGTTGTGAACTGTTTTAAACTTGTAATCTCCCCGTCACTTCCCAACAACCCCATGTATTCCCCCCTTCCCCGCCCGCCTCCAGTTTCATATTGCAGTAGGAGTGGTTTTTTGTTATTGGCCAGTCAGGTAGATGGGGTTACCTGGAGGGAAAAGAAAAAAAAAAAACAACAAAAAAAAAGTTGAATTTATGTACCTTTGATGCTCCCGTGTTCCAGTCTTTACTGTCCACTTTTAACTGCTTCGTGGACACCAGTTTTGTAATAATCGAATAATAGCAAACCTTTTTGAGAAATGTTTTTGTTTTCTCACTGTTTGTGTAAGACCAGTTTCTGATGACTTCTGTATTTTAAGACCTCCCCCTTGAAAAGAAAAACAGAAAAATGAAACAAAAAGAGTGCATGTCTAATACATTCTAAAGTCAACTACTGGATTTCATGTATGGCTGTCCTCTACTCGTCTTAAACTTATTTTTATTTTTATTTTTTTGCATTGTACTTTTTCTTTATTATAATTATTATTATTCTAATTTTTTTTTAAGTTATGTGTTTGTAGTGTCACCAGTATGCCAATACTCTCTGCTGTCCTGGTGTGAAACTTCTGTCTGAACATGCACAGTGTGACCCTCACAGGGCATATTTTTAAATCATAGCAAAAAAAAAAAAAACATTCACAAAAAAAAAAAAATGTCTGCCCTTGTCAAAGCTGCTCCTCCTCCTTAAACCCTCAGCTTTGATAGTTCGGAAATTACGTGTTCTTGTAAATAATGACCAAATCTATTTTTTTGTATTCTTCTTTGATGACGGCAGACATTGAACAGACAACCGAGGTGAAACTATGACTTGTAATAAGATATTAAAGATGTATGCTGCTTTATCTAAAAAAGAAAAAAGGAAAAAAAAATAAAAATCCGCAGTGTGAAATTTCTTGAATTTGAACATAACTTTGTATGCATAATCTTTCCATGAAGAGAACATGTTGGACATCAGAACTCATCGTCGCTTCCCCTCCCCCCCTCCCTCCATGTTCTTTCTTTGGGTGACACACAGGTGGCAAAATGTTTGTGGTGATGGTAGTGTAGAGAAGTGCTCGATATAAAACGGAGGTTACAACCGCAACTTTATGTGCATTGAAAATTTATTGTTTCAAAGTGTAAACTCTGGAAAACGGTCATTTGTTTTGGACTTTTGTTTTCTCAAGTATACGCAATGGTCGAATTGGCCTACCTCAGTGATTCTTCACTCTATGTTAAATCCACTGTCATCAGCCAAAATTCTGTTGTTCTTTTTCCCTCCCGTTCACTTCAATAAATCCCTTTTATATACGTTTTTCTTGACGTTTGTGGTCCTTGTACATCAACACAGTACAGTCAAAAAGGTGAAATGTGTACAGAATTCATCAGATGTTCATTTTCCAACCAATCCAGGATGCATTTCTTCCACAAGATTGAGACGTAAACTCGTTAAATATAGATTACAAATTTGAGCCGGGTTTTTTTTTTACTCAATTCCCAAAAAGTTAAGTTCACTGCCAAACAAGCTTTGAGGTTTTTTTTGCAACTGTACAAAAAAAGAGTTCCGGTCATTTTTAAAAGCACATTTCTGCCTTGTTTTTTCCTACCTTCTCAAAACATGAACAGCTAATTGTGGTTGGTTCTAGTCCTCGGTTACACCTACATGAGAAGCCCTGACACAGCACAACTCCGGCAGCAGCGTCCAGCTCATCGCTCTGGGAGATCCCACTTTCTACTTTCACTGTAGCCTTTTTATTTTCCCTGCAAGAAACACACACATTTACCATTAACGCGTCACTAAGTCTACTTTTCTACATTTTTAGGTAACAATTTATAAATAATAACTATCTGTTGTAACTAGTTAATAGATCATTTGTAAACTGTTAATTAGTGAGTTATTAACCACTTGTTAAGTGTTTGTCAGTAGTTTGTTGATGATTTATAACGATGCGTTATAGATAGTTAATAAACCATTTACAAACTGTTAGTTAATGAGTTATAAATGACTTGTTAACTGTATATTAATGATTTACAGCCATACCTTATAAACCAGTCATAGATCATGAACAAGCCATTAGTGAATTACTTACTAATGACTTGTTAAGTATCAGTTAATAGTTTATATATGTTATTGGGACGTTATTCGTTCAACATTCTATCTGTTGTATATCTTTGGTCAAATATAATACACAGAAAAGTCTATGGGTGGAAGAGGGTTGAGGTACAAAACTGTGATATTTTAAATATCACATCAAATTTCTGTAACTTGAACTTGTTCCACCCATTTGCTGCTCTACAAAGTTTCATTGGTATCAGTAGATGGTTAACAAACTATTAACAAGTGATCTGTAAAGTGTGAGTTAATGTAGTAGTTAAGTATTAGTTATAAGCTTATGTATGTTATTGAGACGTTATTCTAAAGTTGCAGCTATTCCTCATTTACCAGCAGTTAATAAAGGAGGAAGAGTTGCAACTTTAGAATAACGTCCCCATAACATATATAAAGTATCAACTGATACTTAACAAGTCATTAGTGAGTAATTCACTAATGGCTTGTTCATGATCTATGACTGGTTTATAAGGTATGGCTGTAAATCATTAATATACAGTTAACAAGTCATTTATAACTCATTAACTAACAGTTTGTAAATGGTTTATTAACTATCTATAAGGCATCATTATAAATCATCAACAAACTATTAACAAACACTTAACAAGTGGTTAATAACTCACTAATTAACAGCTTACAAATGATCTATTAACTAGTTATAACGGATAGTTATTATAAAGTGTTACCCATTTTTATTTTCAACCTTTTCACCCTTCATGGACCTGCTGTGATGTGACCAGTGAAGACTCGTGACCTTTTACCTTTTAACTTACTCTCTACTTACAAACTATAATCGAAAGAGCATTTTAGCAGAATCGTTCTCGAACCCAGAGCCAATCGCATGTTAATGTAGTACCCACTTCTCTTAAAATGTAACACTTGAAGGAAAACAATATTTGGTGGTAAAATCGAGGCATTTTAAACTACAGTTTAGCCTAAAGTGTGTTGATGGTACAAGTGGAGGAGAGGCAGATGACCTGAAGTCTTAAGAGCAAAAATTACACATCTACAGGCAAACACGTCTCAGTAATAGTAATATACTTAAGTTTAAATGTAAAAGGATGGTTATTATTACAGTCTGCACTGTTAGGAATAGGCAAGAATATAGCTTCATAACTTATCTCAAGTTATGCCGTTGGAGTCGAAGAACTAAAATACCGTTTAAGGTGCCGTTTCACACAACAAATCTTGCACCGCTTCAACCGGAAACATTCAGCAAAAAATCTATCAAGCATCACAATCATTACTTGCGCAGCCACATCGTACAAAAAACAGTGGGATTAACAAATATACATGTTATTAGCTAAAAAGGTAAGATGTGACAAATAAATAGAAGCAAATATACATTAACACCCCTCCCATCCTCAAAATTAGCCCTAAAAACCAGTAACAGCCAATAAAGCTTCCCTCCAGTAGCGACACAAGTCCACCACCTGTGGATCCACGTCTCCTCTGCTGCTTTCCCACTATTTTAAATAAAGTACTTGAAGAGAAGTGACCTATCCACTCTGCATTTAAGAGAGCTATGTGTAAGTGTCACGGAGTAAAATTTATAGCCAACGTTTTGTAGGCGAGGAAAGCAGTTACGGGATAAGCAGCTTTGTGAAAAACACGATCCACGTCAGCAAAACTCTTCTGGTCTGTCAGGTGCAAAACTACTTCACGTCAGCCATTTTGAGATGATGTTGCAGCTCGCTGCAAACCGCAGCAGGGTCTAAGGCCTTAGGGAAGAAGAATAGGAGCCGGTGAAAGTCTGTTTCATCCTCCAGTTTTAACCTGGATGAGGATTCGTAGGTGGTTTGGTCGGTACAGGAGGATGAGTCTGGGAACTGTTTTTTTTTTTTTCCTTTTTGTTTTTTTGCATGGTGATCAAGGCATTGCCACATGGACAACAGGGCAGGCATAGTGAGACAAATACCTGTGTGGTGTGGCGGAAAATATTCAATAAGTCATCCTAAGATCGCTAATATTCATTTATAAAAACAGAAAATACCAAAACTGACTGGATCTCACATTTCTCCTGTCATCGACTGATTGAATGTTTAGGCGGTGATCCCTGAACTGTCTCGCCTACTTCTGATCACTACTACGACGTTCCAGTAATCGCATCAGTTAAGACCCACAGTTACCATATTATCGTGTGCACTATGCGGGGCAGCAGGAATGAACTTATGATATAATGAGATATATCAAAAAAGCAGGGCGGGAGGGCTCAGGAGCTCGTCGGAGGTCTGAATTGGGGGGGCAGCTTTGCCAGTCCGGGAGGCTCAGAGGTCAGACGTTGTTGGGGCTAACGTTCTTCAGGTTGTTCAGCTCCAGCTCCAACTGGCGTATTCGCACATCCTTGGTGGTCAGTTCCTCCTTCAGCCGCCGCAGCTCGTCCTGCTGCCGGAAGAACATCCGCAGGAGCTGCGCAAAGAGAGAAGAGAAAGCACACGCAAGAACGCGCATGTAACAATCCTTTCACACACGGAGGAAAGCCAGAAAGAAGGCCAGAGGACGTTTATAGTCGACACGAGAAGTTGTGTAACTCTCACTGCACCAAGCACTGCTCTGACTGCTCAGATGAATTTCTTCAGCAGCTTTTGAAAACAATAGTCTGTTACCTGACAGAACAATCTGATCTCAGGGTCTGTTTCTTATCTTTTCCAGATAACATCGCATCACAACATTGCATCGACTGTTATTATATTGAAGAAAGTCCTGCTCGAGCTATAAAACGGACCTTGAGGTGAAGCCGGTTTGTCAACTCCGATTTCAGTGAAGTTCAAGAATAAATTTTAAGTTAAGTTTAAATAAATAATCTTGCTTTCAAGATGCACAAAGAGGCTTTTTCCAGATCTGCTGACTTGTTCTTCTCTCTTATGCTCAGTTAGTTTGATGGATTATTAAACTCTCCAAGCAATCAAATGACTCAATGACTCCTGTGTACGCGCTCTTCATTTTCTATTTGTTTTTTCACCTTGGTAACACGTTCATAGGGTATTTTTTTTTATTGCAAGAAGATACATCACGCACAAAATAAGCAGTTAAACACCATGTTTGAGTAATTTCATTTTGAAACGGCAGCATAACGACTTCTGTGGATTTCATATGTAAGAAACCTCAGAACATAATCCTGTCTACTTGCTGGATGGAGCTTTCTGTACGACACAGTTGCTTAAATATTACAACTTGCTGTTGTCTGGTGAATAATTTACACACCCCTGCACACTGTAAACACTTCTATTACTTTTAATCACCTTCTTGAGTTTGCGACAGTTGCTTAATTCACCAAGTCCCATTCCTTGCATCTGACAACCTGCTTGGCATTGAAACGGATTCTGATTCTTCAGCAGATTAGTTTTACAGTGTTTGAGCTGGTGTGCTCGAGCTGCAGAAAGTGGGCAGAGGGTCAATGAAGGGAGAGACGGCTACATCTGAGCCATTTTTAAGGCATAAAGGTATTTTTTTTGCAGGAAAAACAAAAGAAAAACAAAATATGATGCAAAGAGAAGACATAGAAAGGAGTTATTAAAGGACCAGACAATGACCAGAGAGCAACTTAAAACCAATACAAAACCAAAAAGAGAGAAAACAGTGTTTGAGACACACGCCACATATATTATATAGAAAAAATATGTTATATTGCGCTTGCGCTCTCTAAAACGTGTCCACACTTGTCTACTCTCTGCTCTACGTATACACAGCCTGCAGTTCAGCCAAATGCTGATTGTTGATCGCTGCTGAGTCGCTAGTGGCTTTTCGGTTATGCTGGTAAATTCATTACGACAGCAGTAAAACTCCTTTTCATACACAAAAACAGATATACTCTATATATGAACCTGATGCTATCGTATGTAGCACAGTCGACTCTGCCCTTTACATAAAAGCACAAACTGTACAACAAAAACATCATCCATCACTATTAGACTCCTTAAAAGGCCCTGCTGCTATTTCCTAAAACATTTTTTTGAGGTGCTCATTATAGAGGAACAGGAGGGTGGTTACATCTGTGCAGAGCGATTCGCAGCGTTACCTCGTTCTCCGTCCTGGGTGGTACGTTCTCCAGCAAGTCGATCCCATTCACCACCACGCTCTTCTTTTCCTTCACTGGGGCCTTGAACACTAGCTGGTTTGGCCGGTGGTAACCGTCCTTCAGGGACATCAAGACCGGGTCTGTTTGGACCAAGGAGCAAAAACACTTTTCACTGAGCATGTGAATACCAACACAAAGCACAAAGAGGCTTAAGTCCTCCACAGATCGCCACAGGGAATCTCTTGTTGCTCAGTGCTGGTCTTTAACTCGGCGTGTCCGACTCCTATAACTGTGACAGCATCGTTTGATCATCTACAAACTGCTTGAATATGTAGTTTCCTCATTAAATGCTTGGTCGTGTTTGGTAAGCATTCCATCTTTTTTTTCCACTTGGCCTTTGTTATGCTGTATATGAATGTTGAGAACACGCGGACCATGAAAAATGGGGGCGATGAAAAGGAAAAAAATAGACTTCCTAAACACACTGTCACCTCCTGGATTTAATGCTTGGCTAACACTGTAATTTTAAGGCTCCATGAAATGCAAATCAGAGCCCCATTCAACTTGTATGTTGCTGATTAAAAGAAAATATCTGTGGGAGTTTGCGCCACCACAGTGGTGACAATACAAGCCATATGCTGTCAGCAAAACAAAGATTCTGTGATTGAAGTTGGCTGTATTTTAATTACCACGCTCTACTTGAGTTTTGTTTACTTTTTCAGCGCAAAACTTTTTTGTCTCATTTTTCTGGAAAGATGAGTTCCAGTGCGTGATTATGATCGCACGCTCCAAAACAAACTAGAGTTTATCAACCCTCTGAACCCGGAGCAGTTTCTGTGCTGTGGGCTCATTTCTAACAGCAATATAAAGTCCTGCACCTCTATGGAAACAGAACGACCACGTCTAGAAGTAAAGAGAACTCATGAGAGAACAATGATATAATGCCATAAATCAAAAATGGGAAAAACAAAAGTCGCATTACTGAAAAAACTGGAATCAGTATGTACATTTTTCAAGTGCCCACAGGTGTGACCAACACTTGGAAAAGGTTGCTCCACAAGCCATAGCTATTTTATATTTTGTATTTTTTACAAATGAGGCTTTTAAAAAAAAATTTTTAAATATGCTAATCTGCACACAGACTCTACATACAGATTTCACCATGTAGAATGTATCTTCCAACAACTACCTGACAACTTGTTCCTTGTGATGCAGTTTTTGAGTCATGCAGCATTTATTTTATTGATCAGATATGATTTATTTTGCTCTCAGTCTCACTAATCTGTTTCCATACTCATTTCCTTTCTGCTCTACACAGCCTGCAGTTCAGCTGAATAGGGGCAGAATTTTTGCCACGTGACTGCTAGTCACAACTGAGACAATAACGGCTTCTCGGTTCTGCTAATGAGTACAGAAACTTTTTAACTTTTACTGAATCTGGTGCAAAAAAACAAAGGTGAATTTAATAATGGCACATGAAGTGATTTTTAACAAAAAAACACAATTTTTATGCTTAGTTCTGGTTAATTTTCCTGATGATACCAAATGCCAAATGATACGTTAAAGACTGTCAGGAAGGTGAAAACCCAAAGATTCTGGCTTTGGAATGATGCCACTTTGGTGACTTTAAAAAATAAATAAATCATGCCTCTTAAATCTGGGGTTTTGGGGTTCAGAGGGTTAAAATGTTGCGTAACAAACCGGTCAACCGAGTATCTACTGTGTGTTTTTTTTTACCTCTATCAATCCCGCTCAGCCATTCGCTGGCGGACAGGGCAGGTTCTGTTCCGGCTGTCATGGGGTAGATGTCCTCCTGGTATGTGTCTGACTGTGAACACACATTTTTAGACGCTTTAACTATATCCTTCAGTGCATATTCTTACTTTATTTGATAGCTGATTATCTAAAAGTCTGGATAACAGGAAACACAAGGTCCCTTGCATAAAATTGTTACTTTTAAAAATAATAAATGCAATCTGAAGGGACTTTACACTAATACCGATGCCTTCGACATCACTTTGAGGATTTGGTGACCTCTGTCCTTCCTAAGAGCTTCAGTAGAAGTTAATTGAACCCCTATCGGATTACCGTGACCTGGATGACTGAGAATCTATACAAACCTCTGTCCTTGTTTGCTCTCACCTCTCATTAACTAGCTCTGCATTTCCTTTCATTACATGAGAAAACACTGTACGTCAAAGTGTTGCTAAGAGATGTTAATTAAAAGTCAGACAAACACTTTTTAAGTCTCTAAGTGCTGAATAAATGTAGAATACTGCAGATATCAGTCGCGCACTCACCCTTCTTGGCACAATCATCGAAATTGGCTCAATCAAACCCTTCAGCGTTACTAGTTTGTAGAAGCGAAACACCTCGCAGGCTGCCACATCCAGCCCGTGCTTTGGCATCACACCTGCGGACAAAAACAGCAGCATGTGGTGACAAAACCATTTCAACGACGTGACATCCCTTCCCAGAATTCATAGCTATTTGGAAACCCAACAACAAGGTGTAAAAAAAAAAAAATCAAAACTAAAAATCAGCCTGCTGCAATGTGACACTGCCGGACAAGGAGCCTTATTAAGCTTCATTGAGGGAATATTTGATTTCATCCTTGCTCTTTTTTTTTTCTTCTTCAATGAATTTCATCCTTTCAGGCGCGCGACTCCATTTTTAGAGCAGTTCTGAAGCCGAGCCCAGTTTCACAGTGATTCACTCCCTCCCTCCTTCTCTAAAGACGGCTAATGAAGTGGTTGGGATTTCTCTTTCTGCTCTGGCAGGAAAGATCACATACTGCTGATCAACAACTGACTTACCGAGTCCTTTCTGTGGGGCCGGGGACCGGAACTCCATTAGGTATTGGATGTACGGCTTCTCTGTGGTAATTTCAAAGTAACGGATGTTGCCGTCCCCCTGCCAAAGCAGCACAATGTGGCTATTACACTCTTAATACTACAAGTACAGCGTCCTCTCATTTGCTGCTACGCTCCGACTCCCAGAACAAACCATGCTTCTTAGACTCTTAGAAATGTTCTAATTCACTCCTTAGAGAGCGGCTATCTCGCCAGTTCAAAAGACAGAGCTCTCCTGACACCTCACAGCACCTCTCAGAGTAGTTTCTTGTGTAACTGTGTGAGCTCTCTTCAAATTTCAGGGTAATTTCACTACTTCTAAGCTCTTATCTTGGTCCTTGTTAGGGCTAGCCATACGTGCTGTATCTTTTTTTTAGTCCATGCTATCCAGCTCTTCCATCATTTAATATGACAGCACGTGCAGATTTTTCATACTAGCCTATGAAATTGGTATGTTTTTACATGTATCTTGCCATAAAACGCTGACCTGACCACCAAGGCATCTTTTCATGATTGTGTAGGGTAGACTGTCTGGAATATGGCAATATCAGAACCATAATGGTGGCATACTGTACGATGTAGAAATTGAAAACAACATGTGCTTCGTGCCAAACAGAAATAACCATTGGGATATAATTTCAGTTTGACGTTGGACAAGGATGCAGAAACTTGCAGTCATTTCTAAACCTGACTTCTCTTTGGCGCTTGGAGTAACAACTAGTGAACTAGAAAGGGGAAATTCTGTTGCTTATCATGATATGTGCTTCAAATATGTCGAAAGCAGAATTACAAAGCTCCACTTGCAGCCTTGTAACATGATATCAACACATTTAGATATTTACATATTTATGCGTTGATGAGTAACTGAAACCAGAGTGACGTAAAGATTACCATAGAGCTGTAAGCAGGTTGTAGCTGTGGCTAAATCTGATGTAAAGTCAAAATTAATCGCTGCGCTTCTGTGCAACTAGAATTATCAGAAAGGTCAAGTCATGTGGTTTCATTTGATACGTGCTACACTGTGCTGCAAAAGAACAATTCAACCAAGAACAAGGGATGTGGATTTGCGTCCGTCAGGCTTTAAGCGCTAAAACATGCCAATGCAGCAACATGTGTGAAATGTTGATGATTCAAAGATGGTGTGAAATCTTTCACTTTCTATTCAGAATATGTATAACCTCAGTGACGTCCTGCAAGCTAGTCTCACTAACACAGAACATTATCACTAATATGGCACTGTAGTCACCCAAACGTAATCATGTGTTCGTCATAGAATGAAAAAATACCTGCATAAAAAATGTACATATTACAAAGCAACCAAGTGCATCAAGTAAGACATAAAAATATGCATTATTTAACATATATAGAGTACTTGCACCTCGAATCTACCTCATACTGTGACCTATTTGTTCCACCTATTCATTCATTTCTGCTTGAGTTCTTTTGGTTATTAAAGACAGCATGTTTGTTCTTGTAACTACTAATTTAGTACCTCTATCCTATTACTGTATTATCAGGTATTGGGCTTTTTACATTTCCTACCAATGTCAAAAGGGAATTCTAAATAACTTTTTCTACAAAAAGAAAAAGATTTTCTTTGTCATTTATTGCCATCTATGTGCACAAGTGCAATATTTTTGTACACAAATAAAAATGTAACTGCATTCTGTAGAAAAAACCCTGAAATATTCAGGTGACAACTCAGCTGTAACAACATCCTTGTGTGACACCGCGAGGGACAGCAGTTCTGACCTTGCCTGCCAGGTACAACATGTGCGTGTCGGCATCGTAGAAAGGAAACAGCAGTCCCGAGAGCCCGTCTATGTCCTCCTCCACAATTGGCATCGACAGATCCTCCTGGTGAAGAGCAATGCATACGTGGGATTGAACACACAAACTCCGCCCACCGTGGCATTAGAAGCACGAGCCATATGGAGGTGTTTCCTGACCTGATCCCACAGAGCGATCTGCCGGGTGTTCCAGCGAGAAACCCCTGTGGTGAGCAGTCGCTTCATGTTGCCCAGGAACACCACTCGGTTCACACGGTGGTTCTTGCAACTGGCCTGCTGTTGGAGAGGCACACAAAAACGAGGCTTTAATGCAAGGAAAAGCTCTGATACGTTAAAAGCATTGATTCTGTACATTTATGTGACAGTTGAAAGAAAAGAATGAACTGAGCCTCCAGAGTCCATTGAAACAGAGCAGAGGTCTTTGGGTTTTTTCACATTGTGGACCAACAGGTAGCAAAACTCTACATTTCATATACAGTTAGACTAAGAGCTTTGCACACCGGCATAAATGTAATTACAAGCCATTACTTGGACTGAAATAGCGCACACATGCTGCTTGTTGTCCTCTGCCATCATTTTTGTGTGTAATTCAGGTACAGAACGTTTTCATGATTTCCCCCGGTTTAACTTGTCTGCTCCTGCTGCCTGAACTTGATCACCTCCACTTGGTGCAGCGGGGGAGAAGTACATGGGTCTAATCAGAAGTTTCTTAAAATATTGTGTTTTAGAAATGTTTTTCCCTTAATTCATAGTCGCAGCAGAAACATAGAAAATATAACAAAGGTCGAACACTGAATGTGCTTTAACTATTAGGCTACAGGGGCAATTTGATGTAAATCACCAAAGTCAAACATGTAGAGGTTGAGCAGGGTGGGCGAGACTTTGTTTTATTTAACAGCAGGACAAATAGAATCACTTGGTAAATTAAATTGAGCTATAATTTATCTATTGTCCTTTAGGGGTCAAAACTAAAGTCAAATTGTCAAACTGGATGCCTTCAGACACCCGAACATCACACAACGGTTAATTCCAAAATCAATGGGCATTAATCTGCTACTAGAACAGCTTCCGCTCTTCTGTGAAAGCTTTGCCACAAGATTTGAGAACCTGGCTGCAAGTGTCATTCAGCAGCAAGTGTATGAGTGCAGGTGTCCAGTCATGTGTGAAGAATAATTTCATTGCAAAGGTGTTGGGAGGGCTGAAGTCAGGACTCTGCACAGGAAAGTAAAGCTCGTCCTCGGTCTGCTTTGGGAAGAATATTTGCTAAAACAGAATAACAAACCAACCACAAAGATGCAAGCCAACTAAGTTTAAGATTTCTTTATATGGAACTGAAAATAATCCAGAAGTACACAAAGAGGGGGGTCCTCATATTTGTCACCAAATACTGAATGGATCATTTTAAATTCCTGTGACAAATGCAACAGCCAGATGAAGCAAAATTCTTCAGATTTACTCAGTTTTAATACTGTAAATTTGCTCAGCAGCAGTCATACAGTAAAAAAGGAGACTGCTGACATAAACCTCTGTCAGTTGTTCCCACTACGTTGCTGCCCAGTGCCATAAAACTATCAGCCACCTCCTCCTAACCTGAAGGACTCTCCCGGAGCGCGGCTCAATGACGCGCAGCTTCTTGTCTTTGCAGCTGGTGGCCAGCAGGCTGCCGTCTGTGTTGAAGGACATGCTGAGGATGACGTCACTGTGGCAGTCGATCATCTTCACCGGCTCCCCGATCTCCAGGTTCCAGATGAGGATCTGACACAGTCGGGAAGGATTGTTTGGGTGGAGATGTTAGATGGCTGCCGTGCTTGAACCGGTGATGTTATTATGTCGTGAACTTGCGAATGCAATTTTCTCAGAAGTGATTAATCCAATACGTCAACACATGGCGGTTAAATCACTGTGCAGGTGATGACAGTCTAAAGTCTGTTGATTTACGCTTGGTGGTACCTTGTAGTCGTATCCTGCGCTGAAGAGGATGCCGCTGCTGGTCGGGTGCCACTCGATCAGACCCACCCGCCTGCTGTGACCGTACAGCTCCAGCACCGCCTCCGTCATGTTGCGCCTCAGGCCGCCCTCTGGGATCTCCCATACTCGCACCTGCCACGTTCATAAACACAGAATATGAATGAATAGACAAACGTACAAGGTCTCATCAGGAAAACGTCTCAGGACAAAGATTGTTCCTGCATCATTTTTTTCCTCTTTAACTTCAATGCACGTAGACCACTTCTCAGAACAAGGTCACATCTTGAGCTTCCAGATTCAACAGCATGCATGACTTCATCACCTCTCTGAAAATGGCGTAAGTGAGATTTCAGTTTGGGAAACAGATAGAAGTCAAACGGTGCAGGTGAGTAAAGTTCATGGAGCAACAGTTGAAAGCCACTTGGCTGCTGTTGCCAGCTGAGCTGTGTGGACAGACGTCATGTCCTGGAGCAACAGCAGCCAGCTCCAAGCTTTCCTCTCCTTTAATTTGATTGCTTTCAACATTTGAATTTTGCAGACAGTGATGTAAGGCCATACAGTCTACAGCTTTGCCCCAAAATGTTAGTTAAAGCCCTCGTTTTCGGTTGAGAACCCTCGTACCTTGATGTTGGCATTTTAACTTAACAGCTTAATCGGTGAGTTATTATTATTATTATTGTATTTTTAGACTTATTATCATTTTGTCAGAACCCACTACATGTTTTTTCATAACCTATTACTATGAACTCCAGACCATAATCAGAATGACACAGCTACAGATCCCTCTGATCAAAAATAGCACACGCTATCATTGTATCCCACTGCATTAGGATTAGACTGGATTACAGCTATGGCTGGAGGCTCTATGTTGGACCAGATGAGATTATCCTTCAACAAGTGAAAGTACTACACAGAACACATTACTACCAGGGTTTTACTGTACTCAGCAGAGTAATGTAACAGGTGCATGTATTGGAAAATAAAAGCTCTGCAGAGATCTTATGTAAAATGTGAGAGTCAGAGTAATGTTGATTGAGATCTGATGAGGTGCATAATGTCATTTATGTAGCCACCTAACAGACTTCACTTCTGCCATTTGTCATTTTCAAGCCACTGGCTCACAACAACAACAACAAGAACAACAGGAACCGGAGCAGCTGCCAGACAAAATCCAATCATGAGCTTGCGTCCAGTACAAGCTGCGTGAATCAGTGACCCTCTGACCATAACACACTGTTGACCTCTTTACCGTGCGAAGCTGGTGGCTTTCAACCTCGGCATCTAACAAACTGCGTGATTTCACAGATACGAGACATCTTCAAAGTCGCACAGTCATAAAAAAAAAAGGAGAAAAAAAAGCAGGCTTAAAAAGCGTCTGCGGGTCACTAACCGAGGTGTCCTCCGAGCAGGATGCTATGATGTTTTCAAAGAAGGGATTCCACTTGATATCCAGCACATTGCCTTGGTGCCCGCACACTTTGGGGTAATGAGAATCCTGGCGGCCAGACTGAAACAGAAGAGTGACAGAAGAACATTAATTTACATGCTTTTCCGGTTTTAGAGCGCATACAGCAGCACGCAGATGAAAGAAATGAAATCATGTCCTAACATCATGTGTATTGCGTGCTGCTCCGATAATATAAAATAATGTTAGTGTTAACGTCAGGAACAGAAAAACAACTCCAGAAAAAGAATATTATTTCTGAAAACCTAATAAGCAAAGTCATAAGACAGCCGATTAATTCTCCTGCAAAGTGCATTACTGAACAAAACTATTTTCTGCCGTTATGGATGTGAAAGACTAATAATAAAAGTGAAATCACATCAGTGAGGCGGCTCCATAAATCCTGAGCAGAAACAAAGCAGACCTGGTTATTGTACAGGGACGTCTGAGGCACATTATTGTTATTGCAATAACCCGCCGAGTCCACAGAGGGGCACTGGCTCATAACAACAGATGACAGGAACCTCTTAATGTCGGTCATGATGTCATGAATGTTTGATGTCACTTCAATCCACTGACCTCTTTTTTTATTTCCTCAGAGATTTGTTTAGGAGCGTCGGGTCACGAATCTGTGTGTGTGTTTGTATGCAGTATCCTCGCTCAACCCTGAGGACTGACTCTGGATACAATCTCTACTTGTAATAATGAATAGTTTATTTTATTTCACTTGAACATGTACTAGTACTCTAACCCGCAAACACAGAATGAAATATGTGAATTCATTTTCTTCCTTGTGCTCCTGCCCCAAACTGAAAGCAATAGATTTTGTTTTACAACACTAGGAGGCAAAATGATGAAATACAATCAACCTGCTGCAGCAAGTCTTGTGTTTAAAGAATTCTCAGTGTTGATATTAATGGATTATTTAGTAATCTGACAGTGTCTAGCCAGCATCAGCTTCCTACTGACATCTAGTTGTTAAGTTCAAAAACTTTCAATTTATATCAATATAATTCCAGCAACACATATAACACACACATCCAGCCATTATCTATACACCGCTAAATCCTCACTAGGGTCATGGGGGGCTGGAGTCTATCCCAGATGACTCAGGGCGAAGGCAGGGGACACCCCGGACAGGTCACCAGTCTATCACAGGGCTACACTTAGAGACAGACAACCAAGCACACTCACATTCACACCTACAGACAATTTAGAATCACCAATTAACCTCAACATGTTTTTGGACTGTGTGGGAGGAAGCCAGAGAACCCGGAGAGAACCCACGCTGCACGGGGACAACACAGAAAGATCCTGGGTGTCCTCACCGGGACGTGAACCGGCGACCTTCTAGCTGCGAGGAAACGGTGCTAACCACTGCCCCACCTTGCAGCCCTATTTGAAATATCTGTTATTTTTAATATATTTCTTCATCTTTACCACTTCTTTTAGCTTTGTATTTAGTTAAAACTATCAATAGTACCATTTTTATACAAGTTAAATTGAAGAAAAGCATTTTTAGTATGTTATGCGTCCTTCAGCACAGCACCATGTTATTAGGTCTCAGTCAACACCTTTTATGTTTCCTAATTTGCTTCCAAGATTTAAGTATTAGTAGGAAACTAGTTATACCCAACCGTCGTGGTTTTCAGATACAAGATCACTAGCTCTGCTTCGAAACTGGACAAAATGTTAACAAGCTACTAGGGTCTACAAGGGTTACAACTCATGATTATTACCATTGTTGATTAATCTGTTGATTATTTTGTGGATGACATGTCAAAAAAAAAAAAGGATTAAAAATGTCAATCAGTGTCTCCCAAAGTCTTACATGACATCCTCAGATGTGTTTTTTTGGTCAACAGCCCAAAAATATTCATTTTACTGTCATAGATGGGTAAAGAAACCAGAAAAATTCTAATTTAAGAAGCTCAGATTAGAGAATTTTCACTTGTCTTCCTAACAAAAAGGGAAAAAAAAACAAACCTCAAATTGATTATCAAATTATTCAAATACTCAAGCAATAATTGAAGACTTGATAATTGATTCATCTGTGCAGCTCTGCAGTCTACCCACAAAAAATTAAGTTTTCACAGTAACACATTGCAGAAGACAGTGAGGATTGTGCTAACAAGCTCGAGGGACAAACGCCAAAACTAATCGAAATCAGTCTCTGCCAAAACATGGCAGCCGCGAAGTGGAACATCAGTCAATATTCAGTCAATATGAGAGACGAAGAAGAAAAAAAAAACAAACCCAGAGGAGACAGAGTGACTCAGCAAAGACAGAGCAGTTCAATAAACACAACTAACTCAGATACATTATATGATTTTATAATTAATGCAGACCAGCAGGGAGATGTAGTTGAATCTCTTTGATGTCATTTTCAGTCAACTTTGGACCACAACAGGTTCCCACTACACTCACTAGGAAACTCAGAGTTCCCTGTGTACGAGGAAATGTACATTCAGTATGAAACACTGTCTCTTTCTCAAACCAGGCCAGCTGAAGCTCTGACGACACATTCAGATGCTACAGTGACGAGGCGGTTTTAACATGACCTCAAAACATTAATAAGCTGTGATCTGGGACTCCTTATTTAGACGGAGCTAATTACCTGCAAAGAGATAACGTCTGTTGGGAACCACAGAGTTCAGAGGGTCCAAGAGGTGTAATGAGGAAATAAAAATTACAACAGAACATGAAATGAATAAAACAAAACAGCTTTTAGCTTTTACAGTCCACCTTCTGAGATGATTTAAAAGCCATTATAAACTGTCCACCACTGCCAGCTAGCGTTTATCTGACAGGAAAACGCCGCCGGCCCTCGTGGGCTTTGCTCAGATCGTTTCCTGAGGCTGCGACACAGATGAGCTCCGGGTGACGCACAGATGTGTTGGCCACGTACCAACATCTGCAATACGTCACGGGCTCTGTGATGGCTCCCAACTTTTATCGATCCTAATAAATCTTTGCTAATGTTACCTACCACTGCCGCTTTGTGATTACAGTGTCACAAGGGCTCGTTGCAGCAGCAGACGTTTAGGAGACGGATGTTTTGAAAATATAACATGGCTCCTCTGGCTATAATATGGAAATACTCAACAACTAATCTTGTATTCGTGATACGAGTTGGCTTTTTTTTTTTTTTTTTACTGCGCTGCCGTTTGTTCTCTGAAAACCTCATCGATTGCTGCATGCTGATTAGATGCTGTAAATCTTAGCAGAAGCGGTTATAAATATTCTGTGGCACATCCTCCCATATGGCGTGCCACACCTCAGTGAACTGAAATGAACGCGCTGACTCATGCTTATGAAATTGAACAGACTGAATATTCTGCTGCTGTGGTTTATCTCATGTTGATGGTCTAACGCGTGATGCTGCTGCTGCTGTTTATATTTAACCTCTAAGTAACAAACTAACTAAACTGCAATAATATATTGGAACAAAACAACATGCTTGATCATGAATATGAGAACTGTCTACTGTTTGTTGGGAATTTCCATTCTATCCATCCATCCATTATCTATCCACGGCTCAGTCCTCACTAGGGTCGTGTGGGGCTGGAGTCTATCCCAGCTGACTTAGGGTGAAGGCAGGGGACACCCTGGACAGGTCACCAGTCTATCACAGGGCTACACTTAGAGACAGACAACCAAGCACACTCACATTCACACCTACGGACAATTTAGAATCACCAATTAACCTCAACATGTTTTTGGACTGTGTGGGAGGAAGCCGGAGAACCCAGAGAGAACCCACGCTGCACGGGGAGAACATGCAAACTCCACGCAGAAAGATCCCAGGTGTCCTCACGAGACGCGAACCGGCTACTTTCTTGCTGCGAGGCGACGATGCTAACCACCGAGCTACCTTGCAGCCCAATTTCCATTCTATATTATATCTACTGCCAATAAATGAAGATTGTAAAATATGAGACACTAGATGACTTTAGGCATCTACACGTGTACCATATAACATAAGCGTTTGTCCTCCACTGAGGAATTTTTGCTGCCTATAAAAGACATTTTTTGTCAACACTAAAGGAAATCAGTGGTGCCAGAATGCTAAGACTTGAGAAGAAAAAAAGAAAATGTCTTGTTAATTGGAGTTTCATTCATTTAAACATAAAATACTTTTTTGTGTATTTAAATAACAGAGAAATGCATAGATGGCAGATCTTGTGATTACAATAAGTATTGACATTGGTGGGAGCTTTTGCGCTTTTATTTTTTTTATTTATTTTTTTAGTGTTTTTAGCTGAGGTTTGTACCAAACAAGCGTTTTCTCTTGAATCTAAAGGACATGACTTACAGGCTGGGACATCTCTGTAGCGCCACACATCCTGTGATTTGGATCGTCCATACAATATTTAGAAAAATTGTTGAGCCCGACTACATGCAAAGCAATGATGCTTATTGTCATGTATAGTTAACCTCAAAACGGCCATTCTGATCCAGAAAAATCCTGACATATTATGTTGAGCTCTGTTCATAAACCAAAAACAAGGAAAACCAGCATTTATCCATTAGCTAGCACCACAATAAGGCTATAACTAACTTGTAAGAAAAAAACATTGCTGATTACTTGTTTGGTCTATAAAAATAGACCTCACAAAATAGCAAAGAATGTCTATTAAAAAGCCACAGAGTCCAAAGTGATGTCTAAAAATTACTAGTTTTATCTTCCTGCCAGTCAGAAACAGAAAGATTTTCATTCTACAGCCGAGTGAAAACAAAAATAGCAGGATATTCTCACAATTTAGAAGCTGGAACCAAAGATTAATTTGCATTTTTGCAGGAAAAACGACTTAATCATAGAGCTGATTCACACCACTGCACACACTGCATCATGCACGGTGATGGTGGTGGAACAGGAATAGTAGTAGCAGTGATGCAAAAAGCACCACGCCCGATGCACCCTGCTTCTTTGTCTGAGGTGATGAAAAGGTGTTTGTGACCTTCTGTGTCATTCTCTGGGCCGGTCTGTGTGCCAGGTGGTGCCAGCGGTAGGCTGTCGTCTTGCTCGTGGTTTCTGTCTGCGGGCGACCATATGGCCGTCTCGCCGGCTGTCATCGTAATATGCTCGTGCCTCACCGTCAGCCAAACCCACCGAGGATGAGCTGGTGCTCTCATGGAGAAAGTGGAGCCAATTTTTGAAATCGTATGGGTGATTCCCTAAGATTCCCTTTATTGCCTTGTCTTTTCACACTTGTTTGGAGTCTAAAGCTCAAACCCTCAAGTCTTTATGTAATTTTCTTCCTGTCCTACGCAATCTGACATACAAAGCACACTTCTGCTGCTCCTGGTAATACTTACTAAACTGATTTTGGTGACTGCTGACATCACTTTGCACACCATACCTTCTTCAAATTAAAATTGAACTCCCTTTCTTGATTCACAATTTGGTTTAACTTTGAAAACAAATTTTCAGTTCACAGCTGGAGCCTAAACATCCCACATGTGGAATTAGGTCAAATGCAGCTATTATGTTTTACTCTATTAGGAGCAAACTGACCATTAACATTTTAGCATCACAAAGACGTAAACACTGACTGTGAAGCTGTGTAATAATCTCCTCCTAAAGAAGCCATTAAAAACAAATAATCATCAGCTTTAAACAGCGTTAACAACAACACAAGACCTCTTTGATATGCTACTTCAGTTCAGGTCACCTCAGTGCAATATAATAAAATAAGCATTTTAGTTTGTTGTTTAACCTTCTGGCTGTCTGTCGAATACAAGGGAGCATTTAAGTTTGCTGATTTGTTGTTCAGATCGGTTTATACTGCATCACACCGCAGCCATCATCCAACAAAAGCTGTGCTGCTGCTGAAATATGATAAATGCCATTTCTGAGCTTGTCAACTCAGCAGAAAATCGAGGAAATGCCCGAGTGCAATACTTGGAAACTAGGTGGAAATCAATCACCTAATGGTCTCTGGGCGGGTCATGGGTAGAGTCATTACACAGCATGAATAATACCACAGCAAGATATGGGTTTAAGTTCACAAATTACTGTAGATGAAAATGTGTACGGTATTTTAACCTAGAATCAGCATAATAATATATTCACTTGCTTCAATCAGATTATTTCAGTTTTTTGAAGATTAATGAATGAAAACATCCAGAGAACTGCCCTTTTACCTGCCTTTTTATTGACAGAAAATACAGTCTATACAACACTGATAACATCGTCTCTTCCTGTTCTATGTATGAGATTATTCTGACTCACGACACTCTTCAGTGACTAGACTGAAAAGAATCCACTCATTCTCTCAACACTTATCTATTCATGTATTTCTCTCTGTTATTTTTATTTGATTTAAGTCACAAAGGGGTCACATTTGAAACCAGCCAATGTGATTTTTACTTTCTTTTGTGTGCAAACAGCCTTTTATAAATTAACAATATGTCCACAAGTGTTGTTTTTTTATATTATTATCCTAAGCCATTATTGTTTAAATGCAGTTTTATTAAGAATGAGTGCTGCAAATTTACTTCCTAGAGACCTCTGAGTATTGACTATGTTCAACCTCACCAATTTTAAAAGTTGTATCTGAGTTAAAGCTGGAGTAGGCATTATTTTAATGGCAGCATTGGGGAGAAATTCCATTCTAACCATTGTGCATATTGTAATTTAAGTGGTTTCCAGGTTTTAGAAAATGGTAAATAGTAAATTATCTGCACTTATATAGTGGTTTTCTACCTTAGCAGTACTCAGTGTTTTCTCATTCACCCATTCACACACACATTCATACAACAATGGTGACAGAGCTGCCATGCAAGGTGCTGCCTGCCATTGGGAGCAACTTCGGGTTCAATGTCTTGCCCAAGGACACTTCAACTGTGGAGGGACCGGGGGATCGAATCACCAACTTTGCGATTAGAAGACAACCGCTCTACCACCTGAGCCACAGCCGACCTAGCGTGTGACAGCATAAACAGCCAGTCGCGGCTCTTTTCATGAAGCAGGTAAGATAGCATAAATAGCAACAAAGCTCAAAAGGAGAGTAGGTTACTGAACTTTTGCTTTGGAGAGCAGATTGTGGGTGAAGCCATGTATGCATGTCGAATTTTAGCTTGGCTATCTTTTATGTTTGAAACACAAAACTGCGAAGAGGAGAGCTGCAAGAGGAGGCTGTATATTGTCTAATTCAGTTGATTTTCTTTCTCTCTTTCTTTTTTTTTTTTGCCTTTTCCAGATTTCTGCAGCTTTAAGTAGTGTAGGTACATAAAATGAAAAACACCTTCCATGAAACGGATGGTATATGGATTACACTTACACATCAATCTGCCACAACAACACAAGTCCTTTGTGCTGCCAAAATAGATGTGAATTGATGGGCTATGAACACAGGATCTTTTGGGATCTCCTGTGGTTTCTGGCAGCGGGACGTTAGTGGTGCACTCTTTTGGTTCCTGTGGGTTGTGAGGTGGAGCCTACTTTGATCAGATTCGTTCTGGGGCATCTTGTTGATATTTGACAGGATTTGGAGGCGAGGTCATCACCTCAGGTTCGTGTTTCTCGTGGTGGTTATGGTTAGTGATTAACAGTGTGTAAGTGGGAGCTATCGGTCAAAATCACATCCACATGAATGGCAGGACCAAAAATTTCCCAGCAGAACATTGCATTGTAACGCTGAATCGTCATTAATTTCTCCTGTCGGTTTTAATGTTGTGGCTGATAGGTGTGTACTGATGTTATATCTTCACCTGTGATTCCAGCCTGGTATCACATAAAGTTGTTTTTTTTTAACGCATTGCGTGCTGTTGTGATAAACGACCACCATCTTGCTCGTTGTGCAAACACCGTAAAATGACGTGCAGAAATCTCACAAGATGTGGCATACGTGCCCTGCTATTTATATGATATCACGTTATTCATTTGCAACTTGCCCAAGGACACTTTGACACGTGGGGTTAGCTACCGTGGCTCCTTATGAAAGTTTAGGTTGGGTAGATCTTTGTAAATAAACTAGACGTTATGGCAACAGTGACAGTTTTATAATCTGGCAACAACATTATTAGTTTGTGACCTCAAAAAAAAACAAGGCTGACATCATTGGAGAGATTCACACCAACTATCTAATCACACACAGAGGCAGGCAGCAGTAGTTTTCCATGACTGAGCTCATGATGATGTAAAGCAAAATGTCGCTGAGGTCTCTCTGCTTCAGACTGCAAACTGCTCAGCTTCCTGAAAACTTCTTCTGCCTGATAACAGCTTGACTCGACCCCGTTTGGCAGCCCAGACCTTGCAGAGCACCTTGGCACCGACTCTCTTAAAGAGGCAAAGCGCTTCATGGTTTCTCGGGCCCACGATGTCATCTGCAAAGCTGAGTGAGATGCAAACTGGATGGGATGTAAGAACTGACGAGCAATCAGCTTCCACCAGAAAACACACAGCACCTGAGGCTGATTATTAGAAACTTTTCTCTGCATATCCACATAAATGTGAGCAAAAAGTTTATTTTCCATATTAAAATCAGGAATAGTTGTGTGTAACAAACAACTAGACGTAAAGCAGCAGAAACATGGACTGAAGTGTTAGTAGGAAGAAACACATTCCTGTTTTCTATAATAGGAAAAAGAATCTCACACTTTCCAATACAACAGGGCCCCTTCTTCGTATTTATGGGCAATACCACTCTTCCCTCATGTGCTCCTATTGGCAAAACAACCCTGTTACAACGCTGGCTTTAGATTCTGGCTTGAAGATGTAAGGTTGGCATGCTATGCCGTAGCAGTTACAGTCTGTGCTTCACTTGTGTGGAAACTGGTTTGAAGCTTCAGATTTTACTATGCCGGGAAGCAGCTAAAAACAGCAATTGTACACAGCTACGGACAAAATATAAAAAATATACTATATCATGCAGGAAAATCCTACAATAAATGCTCTGAGTTGCTCAAGCTAAAGCTTAACAAATGCACCAACTATTTTACACACAATAACAACTTATCTAACCATGAAGTGCACAGTGATGAAGACAAACACGGGAAGACCCTGGTTGGCATAGCAACAAACAGCAAATCATCCGTTACCTGGGATACAGGTATCACAATGAAGGAGCCCCCGCCGGCGCTCTCCGTGACGACCGCCACGAACTTGGAGTTGACGGCACAGAAGTGGTTGTCATGGACGTTCTTGGTGATGGGGATGCCGTCGTAGCAGTGCTCCCTGTTGGCGACTTTTCCGTAGACGTTTCGAAACTTGGAGCTTCGGTAGGTCGGCCGCCATGACATCTGAGAGGGAGAAATACACCACAGATAAAACATTTAGACCAAAAAAAAAAAAACACCCCGAAGATGTTTGATTTCCAATGATATGAAACAGAGATAAACAGCAAAACCTCAGATTTGAGAAGCTGGAACCAGTGAGCATTCGGCATTTTTTCTTGATAAAACTGCTAATTCCTAATATATCTTGCTGTTTATTGCGGTTAAGCTATAGTTATGCTTTAGATGACAGCTCTGCTTTAGCTCTTGTACCATCTGGTGAGTGTGTAGAAATGAACTGAGTAGCAATTTTATCATTGTGCGTAGGCAGACTGTAGAAACACACCATGGTGAAATACCCCAGCTAGATAAATGTAAATCACTTTGCGTGGAAAAAAAAATCTTCTTTCTCTAAGTATTATTAGAAACTGGATGCGATACACTCACAATTATGATTGTAAAGAGAGAATTAGCGAAGTCTAATATCACATTTCCATCTTCCAAACCCACAGTCACAGGGTGGGTTGTCCCATCTGTGCAGACATGATAACAGTCACACATGCAGCTGTGGGAAATCGTCCAATTTGGTCACGGGCGTGTGACTTTCGAAGGGTGAAAACTGGGTGAAAACTGCTTTGACACTATTTCACGTTACATTAGAGCCAGTGACTGATGTGTCAAGAAGGAAAAGCAATAGTAAAGACATTTCTTCCAAATAACCTAATCCAGAGCAAGATGATTTATTTCTGACAGACACAGCCGATTACCCCGTCGCTTTTCACTCTATTTTGGTTCGTGTGGATCTTGTGCAACAGTAAAAGCGAGCCATTGTTTGCGGCCGCTTCACACAACAAAAGCGAAGTGGTTGCGTTTGACTCGAGATGCTTCTTTTGTTTGTCACTTCACCACAAGAATGTACTGGGGGAGCTCTTGATTATTGTTATGAGCTGGCTCTGCATAAGGACTCAAAAGTTGACTCACAGGATGTGGATATCAAATGACCTTTGCACCGAGCTACGGGAATTCCTTGCTGATGAATAAAGCCACATTTTGAGAATTTTTCTCTTTTTGAGCATATTTTCAGAGACGCTATTGATGCAGACTATATCAGTTCGCGACAGGAACTGGGAGGGAGGGGAGAGGATATACGACTCTTGTCAGATCAGTGGCAGCAATGCCGGATGACATCAGGCAATCCTCTATTCAGTATTGTTCTTCAGCTGAGGAGGGGAACTGGTAGCAGTGGTGTATGCATGCAAATAGAAACATCCCCATACCATCCTGCTGCCATTGTTTTTCCCTTGCATCCAGCAGGCTACACGAGTGTGGGCGATCACTTTACTCGCACTAATCAGCGTCTAAAATGTGACCCGTGGCCATGACAGTATATTAAACATAGTGTTTGTATTTTCGTTTTATATTTAGGGCTGAAATGATGACTTGATTATTATAATTACTAAGCAAAAGTGCATCTCAAATTTAGGAAAGTATCAGAATGTATTTACTTCTACTATACTTACCGACAAATTTAGGATACATAGACTTTTGAGCATCTGTTATCTCTATTTCATTGCATTTCAGAGATCATTACATTGAACTTATGATCGGGCTCCTCTGCATTTAGCTCATTACTCCTGTTACATATGACGAGTTAATAAAATACAATTTATTTCTAATGGATTTAACCGCGGTGCCTGTTTTTGCATAACCACAATCAAGTTAACTTCAAATCAAAAGGCAAATTAAGCACCACAGCAATGAAATGTAGGCAGGAAAGAGAAGTTCATTTGTAATACAGATGTTTTTGTGTTTTTCTTGCGGTTTAGCTCCACTTAACTTTAAAACCACCTGAATAATAATGTGTAGGTCCTCCTCACGCCTTTAAAATAATTCAGATCCATGGACACAGGACCCGTGGGGATGTCCTGTGGTTCTGGCACCGTTGCTAACGGGTGTTTTCGTTCTGTGGGTTGAGGATTGGACTTATTTTGGAGCATCCCATGAATATATTAAAAAACCGACTAGGATCTGGGGAGTTTGGAGGCGAAGTCAACGCCTTGTGCTCCTTTTCTTGGTCCTCGAGCCATTCCTGAATAGGTTTTGAGACGGGGTGCAGAGCTTGGTCGGCAACAGTGTTTAGGTTTGTGCCAAAATGTTATCCGGGTTTTCCAAAATTGTAGCAAGATAATCAGTGCTGCACAGCTCACCTGTCAGTGGTTTAAAAGTTGTGGCTGATTGGTATAAGCTAAGAAAACAAACAAAGAAAAAATGGCTTCCTGCCTCTACCTCTTTTGCTCAAGTAAAAAAAAAACACAAACACTGATCCAACACCTGTCGACTTAAACAAATCTGTAACGCCATCAAATTGTTAGAGAACAAAGAAAAAGCAAAGGAAATACTTTCTAAACAAGGGAAATGTCTTGAATAAATTGAAGTCCAAACATTTTAAATGTCTTCTAATAAAAAAAAAGTTTATCTCAATCCAATTAACATTAAAATGCTGCTTAAATGCAAGTGCATCAGTAACTATAACATTTAGTTTATATCTAATATAAACACAACAGCAGTTTGAATTTTAACTTGGCTGATATTCTAACATTTTAACTTGAATATGTTTTTACATTTAAGTACGTATGTAGCATGTAAACATCCCCCCCTCATCCTGTTTAAACACAGACCAACTGCTCTGAAGCCGTGTCTGTATGAGCAGCATAATGGCAGCTTGTTAAAGAATTAATGTAGAACAGAAGAGCAGCAGAAAGTGGCCTGAGGGACAGTTAGAGGAGAGGGAAAGAGGAGACTCGTCTGCTTTGAGCTGCCTTTTACAAGGATGCTCATTCATTGGCCGGCGACCGGTGTATGGCACAGAGAGGATGTCTGTCTGTCTGAGTGTGTTTGTGTCTTTCTTATCTCACGAGGGGTTTGCAGCACAAGAACACACACGCACACTGATAATCAGTAAGTACATAGACAAAAACACCAAAAACGCAGCAGCTCAGGAGAAGAAATAACTCTGTATTAATCACATCACAAGACTTGTGGGTTGTGAGCATGATTTCCTCTCAGTTTGAGGCCTTCCTTACTCTGCAGACAGACTTTGCTTTTGCATATTTACACCATAAGACTGTTTTTATGCCAACTTGGACCCCTTTTATATCCACTAAACATCACATATCTCTACAGCGGACTCATATCCTGTGAATGACGCTACTGAAAATGTCACCTTACCTTACCAGTGTCCTCACAGTGACACTTGGGTCACAGTGCTGCCTCGGCCTTCTCACACTGCAAACATCCACCCTCCTTTCTAAACGAACCACCAGGATCTCCTCCTCTCTTCCTTCCTTCCCTTTCGAATGTAAGCAGGCGGCCTGTGTCTGCTCTACCTCCTTCTCTCTCATGTTTTTCCTCCCCCCTCCCCTTTAAACCGGCTCTTCCCACCCTCTTCGCCTCCTCCTCGTACTGATAGCTGCAGGGCTAGCGCTCCCCCCTTCCTCCTCTTCTCTCCCATCCTGCCACTCAGTCGGGCCCTCTGCATCGCTTTCCGTCTCCACCACAGTTCAAGCTCCAGCTCGGGCAGCGTTGGAGCAGCAGCCATTCATCGTCTTTCCTCTCCCACCCGCTGCTTGTGTGGAATCACAAGGCCCTTCTGGATGATTCCCAGTACCAACTCCTTCACTGCTTGCCTCCTTTTCTGTCTTTTAACATCCTATCTCTACACTTTTCTGTCACTTCCACTGCTATGAAACCTACATGATTTGATGATTTTGTTTTTAGAGCCAGCATGATGCAGTGAAGAAGTTGCTTTTTAAAAACTTGAGACACTCATCTTGTTATTAAAAAACTAGACAATCCCCTGTTTTCTCAAAACTTAAAACAAACTGTGTTTTCTAGATGAAGTGCATCTTATCTACTGCAGCTATGCTCAGAAATTCATTATCTTGCACTTTTTACTTCTGGTGTCATTCCATGAAATTATAAAGACAGTTACTGGGGGAAAATGAAGTCTCCCATCCTTTAGACAATCCTAATATGTGTAATTTAAAGTATTTGTTTTTTAGCATTTCATGGCATTTATTTCTAATAGTCAGTTCAAATCATAATACCATGATAGTTAGTGATAATATGTATTTATACTACAAAGGTAGAACTTCTACATGTAGTATTTTGTTGTAGGATTTAACATCTCGCAGAAAGACTGACATTTATCATCCAAACTAAAAAACATTCAACATTTCTTACTTCGTAATTAATACATTTTATTATGGTTTTTATGGTCAGCACTGAAAAATTTTGTATTGCATTGTATTGTCACTTATATATAGGGATGCACGATATATCGGTGACCACATTGGTATCGGCCGATAGTGTTTTTTCCCATATATCGGTATCGGTTCAATGAACAAATTTAGCCGATGTGAAAAGCCGATGATTGTCTAACACTAGCGCCTTCGTCTCTACATTTGATATTGCTGCTATTTTACAGATGTTTTTATTTAAATGGTCCTGGACTTGAATGTTAAATATGTTTAAATATGTTTTACTTTTGTTATGTAATAAAGAAGACTATGTGGTCTAATTTGGGCTTCTTTTGAATAGTTTTCACGTTCTCACAGTGCTTACTCATCCTAATTTTTTGGTGTGAACAAAAGATGAATATCAACATTAGTAATATTGGTTATCTGTGATATAAAAAATCTTAATAGCGGATATCGGTATCAGCCAGAAATTTTAATATCGTGCATCACTACTTATATATATATATATATATAAAATACTTGACCTATGTATTAAACACACTATGATACTGTGGTCTGAAATCTGTTAGTAAAGTGCAACCAACACTTAAAATAGCTGAAACTGCTTTTAGCATCAGCGTTTTTTCCTATTTAAGAAGATGACTACATTAGGAACAGTAAGTATATTTTAGAAAACACAGATTAAAGGTCTTTTCTTGCAGCTTTAATGTTTTTTCTTAACATAAAAAAGTAAGGCATAAAAGACTTATTTTCATTCCATCCTCATGC